TGGGAAGGAGGAGAGAAGAGGAGGAGAAAAGGGGGTAGGAGGGAGAAGAGGGAAGAGGAAGGGAAGGGTCAGGTCTGCTAACCAGAAAGGTTGATGGTTCAACCCACCAGCTACTCTGTGGAAGGAAGACAGAAAATCTACTTCCGTAAAGATTTCCTGCCTCGGAAACCCAATGGGGGGCACTATGAGTCTGCATCGACTCGATGGCAGTGGGTCTGGTTTGGTATTGGAACGGTGCTTAGCATAGTACTAAGTACTTTGAATGGTACTTAGAGTGGTACTAAGCATGGTACTTAGACTTTTAAAATATGTGTTGAATGAAAGAGTGAACAAACTGGTGAGGACTGTGATGGCTCGGTGAGGCAAGAGGGAAAGCAGCCTGACTGAGGAGAGCTTGCCGCTCCAGGCCTCGGGGCTTGCTCTGCACCCTCTACGACCTGGGGATGTGAGGACATGGGAAACATTTAGACTCATGCTCTGACCTGCTCATGTGAACAAGAAACCTGGTTCCTCTCTCTTGGAGCCTCCCACTACCCAGACCCCATGAATCTATAGGATTCTCTGGAGAATATTTAATCAAAGCCTTGTGATGGGAGAGCTGGGGAGCATGTCTGAGCCTGCCATAGCCCCCACTGACCCCATGGCAACAGAGAGTCAGCCATCTACCCCTCCACCCTGCTGGGCTGGACCTGTACAAGTTCTTTAAGACCCTGAAGCTGACCTGAGGTCACAAGCCCTAGCTCCTCTTCTCTCTTGACAACAATAATTCTCAGGATTTCTTCCCAAAAGGCTCCATGGTGTTGTACAAATTTTGCCCCTCCTTTCAGGCATGGGGTTCTAGGTACCAAGGAAATTTGAAAGAGACTTCCAATGTCGAGTGGTGAGTCCTGGGAAGGTTCTGTGTGGCTCTCACTGCCTTCTGCTTAAAAGACTAAGAAAGGGTTGTGTGATGGTTATGTTTTTGTGTCAACTTGGCTAGGCCTGGTTGAGTGGCTGGGCAGCTGGATGTAGTATTCCCCATGATGAGACTGGTAATCAACTCTATGGTGGAATCTGTTGGGAGCAGCTGGGTAGCTGCCTTTGGGTATGTGGTCTGCTTCCTGTATATAAGGAGAAGCCTTGGGGAATGGTTCTCTAGCCTATGGCACGCTTGGGCCCTGCATGTAGCCGTGTCATTGCTCAGCAGCCTGCCATGCTCTGCCGACCTTGGGACTTACAATGGACTTAAGCTAATGGCCTGCCGTGTGGTCTAGTAACATTGGGACTGTGCCTATTTACTTGTCAACCCTGGGGCTTCCAGCCTCAGCAGCCAACAGCTGTTTGAGCGAAGAAATGCCTCGAGCTCCAGGGGGCCGGGAGCAGGAGGCAGAGTGGACCCCAAGGTTGAAGGGCTTTCACCCAGCCCCTAGAGCCTGGTACTTTGAATTTGGACTTAAAGCCTCCAAATTGTAGGAATAAACTCCTATTTGTTAAGGCCATCCCATTTGTGGTATGTTTCCTGTCAGAGTGGCACTAGGGAACCAGAACAGGTTCTATTAGTGATGCTTTTTTTGGAGTTTTAAAAAAAAAAAAAATTATTTTTGCAGTGTTTCCTCTCCACCCCTCCCAACCTTGATAACCAACAAAGTTTCCTTCCAGATATAAACCTTTTTTTGACTTTTTACAATAGCAAACTAATATAATATTTGTGTTTCTGTGATTGACTTCACTCAGCATAATGTCCTCCAAGTTTATCAACATTATGCAGTGGTTTGCAGATTCTACATTGTTCTTTAGGGTTGCATAGTATTCCATTGTGTGTATGTACCATAGCTTGGCTATTCATTCCAACACCTAGGTTGTTACCGTCTTTTTGCTTTTGTAAATAGTGTTGTGATAGACATGAGTGTGCATGTATCTGTTCTTGTCCTGGCTCTCACTTTAATGTACCTAGTATACCTAGTATTGGGACTGTTGGATCAAATGGTATTTCTAATTCCAATTTTTTAAGGAATCGCCATCCTGCTTTCCACAGTGGTTGGATCATTTGACAGTTCCACCAGCAGTGTATGAGAGTCCCAATCTCTGTGCATCCTCGCCCACATTTGTCATTTTCTGTCTCATTGAACTTTGTTGTTAGTGCTGGGATAAGTTGATATCTCATTGTGGTTTTGATTTGCATCCGGCGTAGTGCCTAAGGCATCTGACTACTAACCAGAAGGCTGGCAGTTCAAACCCATCAGCCAGTCCTTGGAAAGAAGTTTAGGCAATCTACTTCTGTAGTGATACCACCTCAGAAACCCAAGGAGGGGTTGCTATGAGTCGGATCTGACTCGATGGCAGTAGGTTAATGGCTAACGATCATGAACATTTCTTCGTGTATTTGTTGGCCACCTGAATATCTTCTTTGGTGAAGTGTCTATTCATGTCTTCTGCCCATTTTTAAATTGCATTGTTTGTCCTTTTTGTTGTTGAGGTGTTGGAGTTTTCTACAAATTTTTGTACTAATGGTTTTAGGCAGAATAAAAATTTACTCTCTATTGCTTTGATCAGGGAAGACTCGACAGCATAAAACAACAACAACACAACAACTGCTTTGATGTTTCCACCTAAGCAAAGAATGTTAAATGCATTTCTGCCTAAGGCATTTGGCTGCTAACCAGAAGGCTAGCGGTTGAAACCCAGCAGCCACTCCTCAGAAGGAAGGCTGGGCAATCTACTTCTGTAGTGATATTACCTCAGAAACCCAACGAGGGGTTGCTATGAGTCGAATCCGACTCGACAGCAGTGAGTTTTTAGAGTTTTGCAAGTAAATGAATACATGAAAAAGTAAGCAAACAAGATTAATTCCAAAAATGAAAGCTCCATCTACTAGTTATCAAGCTGTACCAGACTTAGCTAGGGCCGACCAGGGCCATGCTACCAGGTCTATCCTGGGCTTGGTGGATTCTTAAGGGACCTGGAGGCCAAGTAATGGGCCCTTTGGCTGAGATTTAGACTTGAATTATATGTATCACTTAGCTTTCTGGAAAGCCGGTCTGTCCATCCTTCATCCTCTTCTGAGCTCAGCTTTGTTGATTGCCTTGATAATGTGGGTCTCAGTCTACAAACTACACAATGGAATTACTGAAGAGGCTTAAAAGAAACAAGAAAATATTAACATATGTGGAGAAAATTAGTTCCAAATTAAACAGGATAGTAATCTCCCATCATAGGGACATTCAAGCAGAAGGTGGAGGCGTGTGAAGCAGAGGCACTATTTTTGGAGGAATTCCTGGGAGGTTGTGATGGGGAATTGGACCATTATCCCTCAGATCCAGAGGTTCACCTTAGGACTCTGGAGTGGGACCACATTTCTGCAAAGGTCTCACCTAGTGGCTGGGGATCCAGCAGTCTCGAGTGGCTTGAGTGTGAATTCCACTTCTTGCTGCTCTGAGTGGGACCCCAATGCTTACCTAACCCCTCACCTCTCCCACAGTGCTGCTACTGAACTGTGGACACTGCTGGAGAGTGGTGGGCCGTGCTCAGAACAGGTTCACACTCACAGACTGGTGGGAAGGAGTGATGACGTGGAGCCCTGGCACCTGTGCTGATAAAGGTGCCTGTTCCTCCACTTGCCTCCACAGGACAGATATGGAGCTGCTCTGGATGTCCCTGCTCCTAGTGGCTTCTGGTGTCTCTGCTGTGCAGGGCTCACCAGAGGTGCGCGCCAAGGAGCCCAGCATCAATATGTCCCAGCCCCTGCACATCCGGGAGGAAGGCAACCTGATGGTGCTGACGTCTGCTGGCCTGAACCAGATGTTGAATCAGACCCGTTTCCTCATGGTGCTTTTCCGTAAGTGGCTCCTGCTCCTGGGAAGTGTGTGAGGGATGCTTCTGGGGCCCAGAGGAGTTCTCTATATTGCTAAACATATGCAAATACACACTATTACTATGTTTTAAGAAATAAGATGTGTATAATTGCACCTTCAATTTCCAGATGACAACACTGAGGCCCAGGGAAGTTAAGCAATTTGCAAAATGCACTGCCTTTTTAGTCTGGGATTTTTATGTGGCTCCTTGTGCCATGGAAAGTAAAGATCCAGGCTTTAGACCTTGGTGTACTTGCAATTCTAACTCTCAGTTTCCTCCTCTGTAAAATGGGCATTAAAATAGACCATACTAGGTTGTCAGGACAATGAAAAGAAATCATGTGTTAAGTTCCTGGAACACAACGGAGAGTAATACATAACAGCAGTTAGGATAAATTTTCTAGAAAGGGAGTTTTGCAATCATATTTATCATCTAAACTTTGCATCCCCACTTTCATTATTCAGACTGTTGTCCTTTGCATCGGCAGTCATTTTGGGGGGAGATAACAGGCTGCTGCTTCCTGAGGTGCTGGCATGTGCTGACACAGCTTTGCCTTAGGCCAGAAAAAAATTCATTGCCGTTGAGTTGATTCCGACTCATAGCAACCCTATAGAACAGAGTAGAACTATTCTATAGGGTTTCTAAGTCTGTAATTTTTATGGGAGAAGACTGCCACATCTTTCTCTGAACCACCAACCTTTCAGTTAACAGCTGAGCATTTAACCACTGTACCACCAGGGCTTCCCTCTTGGGCCTGTGGATAAGTGATTTTCCTAATTGTTTCCACAGAGTCAAACTTGGTATGTGCCAGGACCTGTGTGGTGGGTGCTACACCTACTCCTCACTTATTGACAGTCTCGTTACCTGATATTTCTTGTTTACAACAATAATGGAAAATCCACTGACTATTTTGTTCATCAGTGACATACATCTGGCAGTAATGGACGCCAAGATGTGAGGTGAGAGTAATGCTGGCTGTGATGGTTAAGGTTATGTGTCATCTTGGCTGAGCTATGGTTCTTAATGGTTTGGTAGTTATGTAATATTGTAATTTGGCAGTTGTGAAATGATTTAGTCTTCTTCCATTTTGTGATCTGATGCGATCATCCTCCATTTTCACACAAAGCTGATTTTCACATAATAACCTGGTCTTTGGAACTTAACCATGCTGATAAATGAGGGGTTAGTGTATTCTTCTCATTCTGTAGCCAAGGAAACAGAGGCTTAGGGAGGCCCAATGATGTGCCCAAGATCAGGCAGCTGCAAGTGGAGCCTGAAGACCTGTCCTATGCCCCTCCTACATGGGAGAATTTGAAGGATGCAGGAAACAAGTGTGAGCACTGATTTTCAGAACCCTGACTTCAGAGCCACATGTGGGCAGAAGTCTTTGGAATTTGTGATTGTTGACTCCAGTACTTATCAAGGACTGGTAAATCCTGAAGAATCCTTCTTAACCTGAATCATCCATCCACTTTGGTTATTAAGCAACATCAAGGTATAATGTGTATGGGCTTTAGAGCCAGGCAAGCCTGGGTGTGAAACCCAATCCTTCTATAAACTACCTATATGGCCTTGAGTAACATTTTAGTGTCTCATTTTATCTGCGAAGTGGAAATAATGAAAGTGGTAGACTCATGATGAAAGTGGTAGACTCATCATAGGAATTAACAGAAATAGTGTCTTTGAAGGACCCACCTGAAAGACGCTCAATAGATGGGAGTTCCCATTTTGTCTTGGCTAGGTAGCATCTGAATAGCTGCAGTTGCATCAGATCAGTTAAGACTGGGTTCAGCTGCAAGAAATAAGTCTGCTAATCGTGGCTTAAACCCACATGTTTATCTCATGCACTGTGCAGTCCAGAGATAGGGAATGAGTGGGGCAGTAGCCCCACAATGTCAAGGATCCAGGTTATTCTACCCTTCTGCTCCATCATCCTTAACATGTTTAGGTCATGATCACAAGATAGCTGCTGCACCATCTGCATTGCACATTCTGCTAGGAATAAAAGGACAAGGGCAAAAGGGACAAAAGTCATGGCAGCCAAGTGTATCTCTTTAAAAAATAATAATAAAATAAAACTTTTCCAGAAGCTCCACCCAGTGACTTCAGTTATGTCTTATTGGCCAGAATTGCACCTAGTTCTATCCCTAACTTAGGAGCTTCTGTGATTGAGGAAAGGAGTCCTGGTGGTGCAATGGTTAAGTGCTCAGCTGTTAACTGAGGTCTGTTGTTCGAAACCCAGTCGTTCTGTGGGAGAAAAGACCTGGCGATCTGCTCCTGTAAAGATTTACAGCTTTGGGAACTCTATGAGGCAGTTGTACTCTGTCCTATAAGGTCACAATGAATCGGCGTTGACTCACGGGACACAGCAACAACAATGGTGGAGGAAGCAAGAGTAAAGGGGGTTATGAATAATACAGTCATTGTATTTGTCACAAGATTCAAAGTTGTAAGCTAACTTAAATGGGCCAAAGGTCATAGTAGTGCTTGCATATTGCAGGCTCAATTAATGCAACATGAATGAAGTCTTTCCAAGAGTAATTATTTTATTTTTTTGCAGAAGGGTTTTTTCCAACTTTGTGCCCAGGGACTACCCTACTAATGACTCAAATTCTTATCTGCTGTCCAGCTTTGCATCTCTCTGGGGATTCCAAGAGCCAATGATGAGCAATGCCTTTCCTCTGTTCCTCAGACTTCTCATTGACACACGTGTCCCAAACAGACCTCAGCACCTCTGACTCACTCTCAACACTGCCTCTCCCCATGCCCTGCCTTAACTGACAGCACCACCACCACTAATGTCAAAGGCAGGCACCTCAAGGTCGTTTTTGACACCTCTCTCTATTTTCACCCACTCCCCATATCTTATCTCCTCCCAAGTTCTATTGATGCCATCTCCTAAATCCCTCTCCAGTCTCAACAGTTCTCCTCAACTGAGTGCCACTGTTTCAGTTCTGGCCTCCTCATTTTTCTCAGCCTCATCGCAGCCTCTGGGGTGGTTTCTCTACCTCTTTAATGCTGCCCACACAACACATCCAGAAAGATTTTTCTAAAATGCAAATCTGATTGTATTACTCCCTGATTAAAAACCCTCAGTGGTCCTATAACATGCCAAAGTCCTTCACATGGCTATAAGGTCCTCTGTTTGCTGTAGACGAGGCCTATCTCTCCACCTTGCTTGAATGCTAGACTATTTTAAATGGGTCCAGAATGGACCATACTCACTAAGGCCTCTGAGCCTTTGCACTTGCTGTTCCTTCTGCCTATAGTGTCCTTCCTCTACTTTTTCATGTGGTTGTGAGATTTAAACTCATAGAATCACCTTGTCTGGAGACACTCCCATTCAGACTGGCTAGGAGCCTGCACATAGTCCACTGTCATAATTCTTGCCACACTGAATTGAAACTGCTTTTAAACTTAATGGGGAGCTGGGGACAAAACTAACTTGTCTTTTGATTCCTAACATCTGGCATTGCGATTGAAACATGGTAGGCCTCCACAGATGTTGAATGAATGAATAAATAAATGGAATAAATATGCCTTCCTTGGGTTCATTAAGGAGCTTTAGTGACGCAGTGCCTAAGGCATTTGATGGTTAACCAGAGGTTGGTGGTTCAAACCCACCAGCCACTCCAAGGAAAGAAGAGGGGTAATCTACTTCTGTAAAGATTTGCTGCCTTGAAAACCCAATGAGGGGCGCTATGAGTTGGAGTGGACTCGATGGCAGTGGGTTTTTGATTTGTCCATTATGTTCTTCATGAATGAATCAGGAGAAAAGGAAAGGCTATTTCTAGTGGAAAAAACTCAGATGAAATTTATCATGGGCTGTTTCTATGTACATTTAGTGATTGTCCTTAACACACAGGTGGCAAGAGTCTGGACTGGTAGCAGGTTAGATGATGATAGGTGATGACAATTATGAAGATGATGATGGGTGGTGATAGCGGTGAAGATGGTGATGATGATGATGATAGTGATGAAGATGGTGAGGAGGATGGTGATGATGATGGTTATGGTGATGGCAGTAACAACAATAGATATTGATGACAGCAATAGTGATGATTATGATGTCAGATAGTGGTGATAACAACCATTTATTACAGACCTGTGTTCCAGGCACTATATTATCCCCATCTCACAAATGAAGGCAAGTAAGTCCCAGAAAGGTTAGATAATTTGCCCAAAGTTAGTAAGTGACGAAGTCTGGATTTAAGCCAGGTCTGACACCAAAACTGGTGCTCCGTCCATCTTACCGCACTGTGCTAATAGCTCAAAACTCAAACCAAACCCACTGCCATCTAGTTGATTTTGACTCGTGGTGACACCCATTGACTTTCCAAGGCTATAAATCTTCATGGAAGCAGATGGACTCATCTTTCTTCCTTGGAGCAGCTGGTGGGCTCAAACCACAGCCAAAAAGCCTTACCCACTACACCACCAGAGCTCCATGTACTAATAACTAGAACATTCATTTATTCAATATTTACTTTTATTTATTGATTTATTAGGTGTCAGATATACCTCAGGCACTGGAGAGTAAAGTGATGAGCAAGCAGAAAAAAATTTACTCTCGTGAAACTTACATGCTGGAGGGATGAGACAAAAGATAAACAGATAACTGAGTAAAATATGTAGTATGACATACGGTTAAGCTACTATGGAGAAAAACAGAGAAGAGCAATAGTGAATGCAAGGGTTGAGTTGAGATGGGTGTGCACATTTAATTAAAGTGGCCAGGGAAGTCCTCCCTGAGAATATGATGTTTCAGCAAAGACCTAAGGGCAGTGAGAGAGCAACTCATGCAGATATCTGGTGGAGGAGGGTGGGGAGAGCACTTCAGGCACAGGGAACAGCACGTGCAAAGGGCCTGAGGTGGGAATGTGCCAGTGTGGTGAAAGCTAAGCTGCTGAAGAAAAGAGCAGTTGAAGTGAAGTCAGAAAGATGACATCCACATCCTTCAGGGACTTGGAGGCCACTGTCTTA